TGTAGCATCATGATGGCGCATCCCTATGGCTGAGTGGGGTTATGATATATAGTGTACAGCAACTGCATAGCTGTTTGCTAGTGCTTGTTGTGATAAGGTGAGTTGTCACTGCACTTCTGTTCTCCCCTCTTTAGGGGAGGCCTCCTCCAGGTACATGTTGTAGGCAGGAGTGGCTGAGGAAAGGAGGCAGGAGGGGGAAGATGGCAGGAAATCAACGGCAGAAAACGGTCCTTGGGCTCTTGATGCTTTTGCTCCTTGACGAGGAGAGCCATCAGATACAGCAAAAGGAGATGGAGGAGCAAATTGCCCATGAGAGGGAGTTGTTTGAAGACGAATACAGGAGGCGGAAGGAGTCTCTTTATGAGGAGTACCGGAGACACATGGAGAAGCTAGCCGATGCAGAGAGAACGGAGCTTCTCCATCGCAAGCGTGTTCGCTATGCAGCTGCAGCATTTGTTGCAGCCATAGCTAAATCAGAGTGTATCCGCCGCAAGCTATGGCAGCTCGCTCGCTTGCAGGCTTGGTGGGACTGTTGTTGCCGTCCGTCTTTCACGGAGTTTGAGTTCCGTCACTGCTTCAGGATGGGAAGGCGTCCATTCAAGTATATCTGCGATGAGCTCGCACCTATCATAGCGAAACAGGATACAATGCTGCGTGCGACAATCCCTGTAAATCAGAGAGTAGCGGTTTGTCTCTGGTGTCTGGCAACAGGGGAGCCATTGAGATCAGTGTCGAAGCGGTTTGGATTAGGCATTTCCACATGCTCAATCATCATGTTGGACGTGTGCAAAGCACTCAATCGTGTTCTCCTGCCTCGGCACATCCAGTGGCCAAGTCCTGAGCAGATTCACGATGGAGTTCGAGTGCATGCACGGGTTGGGGCAGGTGATTGGTGCTGTCTACACCACTCACATACCCATTATAGCGCCAAAGCTTCACACCAACCAATACTTGAACAAACGTCAGACCGAGCAGCAAACGAAACCTTGTTACACAATCATCCTTCAAGGTGTAGTGGACAGCAAAGGTGCATTTACTGATGTCTGTGTCGGCTGGCCAGGGTCGTATTCGGACTCTCAGGTTTTGCAAAATTCCGTGCTGTACCAAACGGCGTCTGCGGAGGGTGGCCTCCACGACCTGAGGATGGTTGGCGGTTATGCTTAACCCCTTTCTGAGTGGTTGCTGACGCCGTACAGCGGGCCGGAGAAGCTAAGTCACGTGCAGCAGATGTACAATGAAAAACTCATGGGCACATTGATGACTGTGAAGGTGGCCTTTGGCAGACTCAAGGGGCGATGGCGATTCCTCACGAAGCGTTCTGAGGTGAAAGTCCAGGAAATGCCTGCTGTCATTGGAGCTTGCTGTGTTCTACGTAACATCTGTGTTCAATACCATGAGCCCTTCGATGATCAGTTGTTAGTCCCTGCAGAGGAGGATCTTGAGGGTGATATATATACAGTGGACAGGTGTCAGCTGACGCATTGGAGAAACGGGATGAGATCGCACAGGCCATTGCTGACAGGGCCAGTACTTTGCAATTTGGCGAGGGGCTGCTCGAGGCCGTGGCCTTGCTTTAGATGTTAGAGATGGGAAAGGCCAGGTCTATTACGTCTGCGGCCAGGCCTACGGACGTAGATCCACAGTTAGCATCCATAGATTATGTACGCATGTCCTTGAGCAGCCCGTTTAATCTACCCCTTTCAACCCCTTTTAATCTACCCCTTTCCAGCCGCTTCTGAGGGTCATTTTTTAAAGTCATTGCTGGTCTGTAGCATGAAGGCTTCTCATGAACATAATCCATTACTGTGTGTCTATGCGAATGCGAATGCGAATGCTCATGCTCATGTCATCTCAGCATTCGTTCTACAGATACGGCCCTCAACTGGCCCTTGATGGCTGATTGATTGGCTGGCGAGCTGGTCGCTGCTAGCATGTGCTAACAACTTCAACATTATTGACATTTATTGTACATCCAGCTCCTGACCAAGCTCATGGCGAGGAAAGTATTCTGCTGCTATGGAGTACACTCTAGCAGTGAAAGCAAACGGACTGGTTCGGACGTATCAGGCCTTTGCGCACTGTCGTGGGGCGATCTAGGATGTTTCCGCTGATGTGACTGGTAATCACTGGTGCTGGCGACGACCTTCTTACAATTTCGTCCACCCTCTCGCTGTCCCTTCAAACAGACCTTACCATAGATGGAGCCTCCCTAGGAGTCATAGTGGTGAAAAAAAAAAAGAAAAGAAAAGGAGGAAAAATGTGTTTGCTTTGATGTCTTTGCCGCCGAAATTGCCGCTACTGCACATGTACGGGGCCTCGCTCCACAACTCAACGCTCTACATGCATTTGGACGCTGTCTGGACCAGATGCATTTGGACGAGTCCAACATTTTTAGCGTATTGGGACGACCGCGAGCTCTGAATAGATATAGTGTGTTGTCTTTTTGCTCTATTTTTCCCTTCTTCTGTTGTGAAGTCAGGCATTGCTATGAGGGGGGTGTAAGGAGAGAGAGAGAGAGAGAGAGAGAGAGAGAGAGAGAGAGAGAGAGAGAGAGAGAGAGAGAGAGAGAGAGAGAGAGAGAGAGAGAGAGAG